TCATTTTTAAAGTAGGTCTCTTAAAATTTCTTTAAACCGTACTGGTTCGCATGCGGTAAGGAATGAAGAAATGTAAATAATTGTTGTGCCGGCCAAAAAGCGAAGAGGAAGTAACGATTAAAATATCGAGTGACAGAAGTTTCTAAGTTCGTTGAGATCGGATTTATATTTTAAAATGCCTTGAAACCCGCATTTAAAAGTATACAATTTAATAGGGTTAATTTTCAGTTTCTACATTTGAAAATATACCCGATGCCAACTCGGCCAGTGATGCCATAAATGTTAGTTACAAGTACAATTTAATAATGTTCATTTTAAAATTCTTTATTTTAAATTATATCCGACTGAAACTGTCTCTGGCGTCATGAGCGTTGTGCAAAGGTATAAATTCCAAATAAGCGACATTTCATGTTCCATCGCTCTCAGGAATAATAGAAGTGGCATCTCATTTAAAATAAAAAGGAAATAACAGAACTGTCAAAATATTTTAGATGGAAAGATCATAGCCTGTTTACTATGTTTAACAATTTTTAACAAAAAATCATTCATTGTTTTGTCAGATACCGATAATGTCTCCCCGTCGCTGGACATCCTGTATATAAATATACAGCTCTCTATTTACATAATTATAATTCTTAGGTAGGTTTAGATTTCCAGACATAAATCTTGTAGTAAATATAACAGCTGCTAAATACATTGATTACATGTTCATTAGCCAAAATGTAAAAATGTCTTTTATTGTACCTATGATTTAACTTAACACTACACGAAACTAAAAATAAAATGTCGTGTAATTAAATAATAAAATACAAATTCAAGCCAAAATATCACAAACGGTCCTGTAAGGGCAGCGTCATATTACCTTGAAACACCGGATTAATGTGGTGTTGCCAGGTCAATATTGAATTTGTAGGTGAATCGCTTGTTGTACATTAATACCGTATTTGTATATATTTTTGAGAATGTAATTACACATAAATATTATTAGTTGATTATTTAAATGTTTATAAAGTATTTTGTGGCGATATTTCGTAGATATAAACTGATTAAATCATATAATTTCAAAATAAATTAATTTGAAATTCTTTTGTGTTAGGTATGTTTAATATAATTGGCAACACTACGGGGACAAGTCATGCATACTGCGCAAGCTTCTAGACACACTATTTTGCGATGTCAGGCGCAGAGACGCGTTTTTATGCACAGTAGGTTTCAATTTCTGCTTGGATGTTATATTTATATTGGTCTTCTATATTATTTCTATGCACTGGGGGTATTAGCCAAGTGAGAGTTTTTTAAAATAACTTTAAAAAAGAGATTCTCAGTTCGTCGAAATATTTTTTTTTATATATTTAGCGATAATTTTTTAATGCATTATCCGATTTCTATGATTCTTTTTTTGTTAAAAAGAAGATACCTTAGGGGTAGTTCCCTTTTAATGGTATCTGCACGGTTTTTTAAAATTACCATTATAACTTGTAAGTAAAGAGAAATAAAAGTCATTTTGATTTCACAATGATAGGTTTACTACCGCTGGTTTCGAAGTCAAAATTAACTTCATCTTCAGATACGTCTTGTGGATAAGAGAAAACGTGTGATGAATTATCTTGTAAGTTAATTATGGAAAACTTTTATTTTTAGAGAAACACTGATATTACTAATAGATTTTTATTTTTTAGCAAAGCTTCATACTGAAAAAGTATATCATTGAATGAAAAAAAAAAAAAACAGAGAAGAAGAAATAAATGATGATCAAGTTGAAAATGTATGTTGATTAACTATTTTATTATTTTACTGGCGCTAGTGGAAGAACGGGAGTGAACTCTCATTCACGACTGAACTGGTCTGTCCAATTACCTATAGTGATATATATTATGTATAAATAAAAATCTGATACAATGTACTCATCTGCTATAGTTAATAAATTATTTTTTATTAATATTATATCTCAGTGAGATGGAGTCCATGTTAACTTAAAGTTGTAGCAGCGTATCAAGTGTCTACTGTCAGAAGCGACATTTTGCCTCACCAGATCCTACATCAGGTTCTATTTCAATCGTGCGGTGGCGTGTCATTGTCATTAGAACAACCTTCTTGATGTAAATATCAAGGGAAGTGAGACTAAGAATGACTTCCATGTCTCTGGTTGGTATGGTTTTTATTGCTCTTGTTATGTTGGAAAATGCTGTTCTTTGAATTTGTTCTAGTTTGTGGATATCTGTTAATATTTGGGGTTCGAATACTAAGACAAATATGTTAACATATGTCTTATGGTGGCCGTCTAAGTCCATGTGACGACCCTGACGGAAAATCCCAAGATGCGCCCCACAGTTTGACGGCATTGTTTATAAGCACTGTGTACTCTTTAAGTATGAGTTCCATGTTAACTTGCTTTTAAAGAGATCTAGGCACTTCACCCTTGTTGTTTGTTTATGTTTGTTTTTAGGTTCTTTGTATGTTTTATTTCCATTTTTATTTCTTTTCTTGTGAAAAGGATCATTTCTGTCTGTTTGGGATTGACAGACAGTGAATGGTCTTTGCACCATTGTTCTATAATTATTAGAGCTAATTGCATTCTTTCGCAGAGTATGTTCTCAAAATTCCCTAGTTACAAAATGACTAGGTCATCTGCATACGCTATTGTGTAGTGACTATCATTATTGAGGCGCAATCAAGCCTTTTATCTTCTACAGTTACATTTACTCCTAGCTTTGAGAGCATGTTATGTATCCACTCACTCTGTGAAATATTCCTGTTTTAGCATAGCAGTTAATTAATTGTATGGCCAAAGCATATTTTAAATCGTTAGTGCAACTGATAAAGAGAAGGGGAGGAAGGACCTAGCCCTGTGGTACTAAGTCAGGATAGCTAATAGAAACTTTTTGAAGCTTTTGAGCTATTCATCAATCAGCAATCCATGATGCTTTAGCTTCATTAAGAGTAATGAGTGATTGACAGAGTCAAAGGCTTTTATTTCTAAATGAACAAGATTTAGAATATGATCTGTTCATTCACAAGCTTTTTTCCTTGTAGGAAATTAGAGAGATTTTCAAAATAAATCTTCATGTTCGTCCCTATTAACGAAAGTATAGTTCAGACATAAATTTCATATAATATAAAATAAATTGTACCAAAAATAGAAATGGATCATATGGAAAAGTCGCGTTGTCTGAATAAATGAAGCGAAATGGAAAAAAATAAAAAAGTAAAAACACCCAAATATGACGAAAAGGAATCAAACATCGCCTTTAAAACATTTTAAAATTATGCTTAAAGAAGCAGATGATTATAATATAGTTTTAGTAATATAATAAATAATGCTTATCATGTAAAAAATATACTTAGCCAAGACAATAGTAAGCTAAACATAAATCAAAAAAATTTCAATATTTACAGCTTCTGATATGGATATTGATTTTATAGAAAATAAATATTATTATCTAGAATTGTTATATAATGACTGTAGTACGGTATAAATAAAAAACTTAAAGGTTAATTATAGAAATGATAAAAATCCTAACTATTGTAAACATAATTTTTAGTTTTTCATATAATTTGGCTAATACTGGCTTTAATCATACTCCTTATTGATTATTAATTAAATTTCATCGGTTAGTAATGCAGTAACTTTTTGAATCTATTAAAATATAATAAAAATTGGTATCTCTGTAATAAATTACATTTTAAAAAATGGTTTAAATAAAGAAATTTATAGACTTTTTACGGCGAAAAAAGAGTTATATTTGTGGTAAAGATTTTATTGAAAAGCATCGCGTTAAAAGACATTATAGGTACGTAGTTTTATTTTGTTTTTATTGCTTGTAATAATTTTCATTTCACACGGTTCGATGATTCCTTTTAAACTGAATTTCCTTTTGGGGAAATGCAATATCCTAACACTTACCACGTTACATAAAATCGACAATTATTTTACACTTGCACGAAGTTCTTATACAGGTATTTTCGAAGACGCATTCCTCTTCAAAATTTGTATTCTTTTGTAATAATTGACATTATTATTTAAAAATATAAAGAATTTAACAAAAATTCTAAAAAAACTATTTTTTAATGTTTGAATTTAATATCCGCACCTATTGAAATAAAACAAATATTTAGGTATTGAACTGGAGAATTATTTAAGGTAGTAAGTAAGTTGACGTTTTAAAAAGTAAATAAGTCACGGACATTTTGGGTTTATATAGAGAAGCTAGACTTGAGTAAAAAACACTAGAGTGAGGACTGAGGTCCAACACTCTTGCCGAAAGACTCTCGTTTCGGGACCCCTTCGTCCCAAATTAAATCAAATTAAATTAAAGAGTCGACAGTCTTTAAGGAACTGAATCACAGCACTAAACTGGTTAGGTAGACCGAGAATGTTTTGAAGAGTTTCACTGAGCTTGTGTTTGCGACGAGTTGAGCTGTAGTGTTTGCAATCTAAAAGTATATGCTCAATTGTAAGTCTTATAAGTCTTGTAAGTATTATTATTATTTTTTTAATTAAAAGTAACTTTTTTCCACGATGTCTGTAGATATGAAAATAAAAAAGTACTATTAAATTATTTTATTATTGTAGTCAGGATTTCTGTTCAAATATCGTGATTTTTTTCCATTTGACTACGTGAGATAATGTTTGCGGAACATTCTCATAAATATTTAAATATGTTTTCCCCTCCATCCTGAAAATTCATGGCGTCCCACCGATTAAGAACCACTGCCGTAGATTGCCGTTTTACATAAATCTATAAAAATTTATTTTTTTATAGATGTTAAAATGTTTTATACTGATCCATTAACTATTTATTTTCAAGACGATATTCTAATCGTTATTTTGTGAGCATTTAAAATAACTTCTGTAACGTATTTTTCCCAAACAATAACACCTGGCATTTGGTATGATATTAAAAATCTTATTTTTAACATTTATGATCTCGACTTCTCGTTTACAAATTCCATCAACATTCTTTTTATTAAATTATTTCATTATTTTAAACGAGTTGTTACCTATATTAAAATTTGTTATTCGAAATCAGGTATAGTTCGTGTGTTTGGTGGAATTCATGTGTTAAACCATGAGACATATTGTTTTAATTATTCTGTATTATTATTTGGGATTAACGAGTTCAAACGAACCACTAGTGAAATGTTTGCATCCTGAAAAATGTTTCGCAGTGTCCTGCAAGCAGGAAACCTGTCACGATAACGAAGTTTTGAGAAAATTACCCTGCAAGTGTTGTCCTGAATGTGTGCCAAAAGATTGCCGAATGCAGGAAGATTGCAAGTATATCAGTTGCTCAGAAATCCCCTGCCCAGAGGGTGAAATACCGAAGCAAATTCCATGTAAGTGCTGCCCCCGCTGCGTACCAGCCAATTGTAAAACTTATCTGGATTGCGTCGATGTTTCCTGTCCAAAATTATCCTGCAAAATCTGGCAAGTTCCTCACACACCTCTATGCGAATGTTGTCCTGTTTGCGATCCCGTCAACTGTCAGAGGAAGAAGGACTGTGACAAAATTATTTGTAAAACCCTTAACTGCAAACCGAACGAGGTTTCTAAGAAAGTACGGTGTAGGTGTTGTCCGATATGTGTGCAGGAAAGACTGTATACTCCTGAGGAATGTAAGAAAGTGTCGAGTTGTCCACATGTTTCCTGCAAGGAAAAGCAAGTATTGAAAAAACTGCCTGGGAAATGTTGCAAAATTTGCGTGCATGCTGAGTGCTTAGGAGTTGAAGAGTGCGAGGATGTGATGTGCGTGAAACCAAATTGTACTGGGTTAGAAACGTTGGTTGTGCCAATGTGTCAGTGCTGTCCTATTTGCGAATCTAGGTTGGATTAAAAATTTGTTTAATTTTTCTTTTGTTTTTCTTGGAAGATCAATAAAAATTATTCTTTTTTTTTGTTCTCTGTGTATTTTTTTATTTGAAAAAAAAAGCGTATCAGCCTATTGGCCATTAGCGGCGGTACAGTATCTTATTTACAATTAGTGATTACAAAAAAAATCAGTACGATAGGTTTTGTGGATAATTTAAGTTATATACAGTGTAAATAGTTTGTTTCGCAAAGAAAGATTAATAAATTATCTGATCTGCACTTTTGGAAAATGTCTTTAAGAGTTCTGGAAATTCTGTTATTTAGTTTTTCTGTTTTATGTATCGGGCACTCCACTAATATATGATTTACCGATAGGGGTATATCACACGCGAAACATATATGTTGGGGTTTCTTTGTTATAAGGTGTAAATGGGTGGCGCGGGTTTGTCCAAGTCGAAGTCTCGTCATGATGACTTGGTGAAATCGATTGGTAGATGTATCACCCCACAGTTGAAGCGATGGTTTAACTTCCAGTATTTGAAAGGATGTTGTTTTCATATCTGCTTCCAGAGTTCCATTATCTTGAGTTTTAGAAACGCTTGTAAATCGGTTGCTACTGTTGTGATAGTATTTGTAACGCTTGATCATTAACAGCCTTTTTTGTTTATTTTTCAGCCAGTTTATTGTGAGTAGAAACCCAAAGAAAGACTATTTCCTTATTTCCAAGTTTCTGAATTTCGTCATTAGTAAGTTATACATACTATACTATACTATAGGATTTTGAGTATGTATTTTAGTTACAACATGGATTGAATTAATTGAATCCGTTATGATTATGAACTTGTTTTTATTTGCTTCTCTTGCATAATACACTGCTTGCTCCTACCTGGAATATTTGATCAAAACATCAAAATATTTTTGTGATATATCTAAGTAAACTTAAAAGTTTATCCAGTGGTATCTTCTCCTTTCTGTTCTTTTGTTCCAACTTTGGAATTGTTTACTGTTCACACGCTTGGCAAAGATGGCTGTATCTTTGTAGAATGTGGCTACTTTCACATTTTGCATTTATGACGGTTCTATATTGACCATTTATATGTCTGCCTTAAACTATATCATCAGAATTTTGATCACCTTGTTAAATTATCTGAACAAAAAGCATTTATTTGCATGACAAAAGCCGACAGCCGTCAGGATTTTCCCTCTATTATTTCCGGTAAAATTTCTAACGACGTTTTTAAAGTTTATGCGGTATTATGAAGGTGAAAATGCAGCACAACACTCAATTACATTTGCATTCGTTGAAAATGTCTTTATAATATCAGGTTTTCCGGGGACACTCGCTTGTTGTCACAATAAATGCACATTTTTCACGTTAAAGGCTTTTATTTATTTTCTCGGTCGTTCTTGATAACGAACTTTTTTACACTTGTATATATACGAGGAGAGCTCGTTAGTTGTCCCATATATACACTGGCAGCAATAATTAGTAAAATTAACATATTTTATACATAATTTTTGTTTTAACTTGTAAAAATAATACATAATAAGAAAATTAAAAAAGTGAATAAAAGGTGTAAAATCACCACAGATAAGAAAACAAAAAAATAAAAACATGATAAAAAGAAAAAACAGATATGAAGGAAAAGAAAAAAACAAGACAAAGAAAAATAGAGGAACAGGAACAAGAACAAAAGAACAAGCAAAAGAGAAAAAAAGAAAGTCTTAAAAAGCTTTTATGCCAAAGTGTATTATTTGGATACAAATTATTAATTGGTCATAAATGAAATTTCTACCCTAGGTAGATATTATTATTTTAACTGATTTTGTTTATTAAACAAATCTGGGAACATCTGTGCACTCTGTGTCATTTTAGAATGTTCTCCCAACTTTGACTACGCAACAAACAACACGCCTAACAACCGCGATGCTTACAAAGAAAACCAACAACCACAAACTGAAAAGCGCTCGTTGAATATCATCCGAATTCGATTTGCGAGGAGAGTTTAGAAATTGAATTTCGCAAACGATCTGCCGTTCCGATTATAATTAGATTAAACAAAATAGCTTCTACTTTGATAAGTTTTTAGGTGAGTGAGTAATCTAAGGAAAACAATCGCTGGTGGACGTTTAAGTAACTTACGCGAGATGTTTCACTTCACAAAGTTTTAGAACGAAGAAGAAGGATCTCTCGAAGAATAAGGAAGTTTTGTTTAATTAAATTTCTTGTAGAGTTTGTTTGCTTTTGCGAACTTGTTTTTGTTCTTACCGTCGATAGGTCAAAAACCTCAATGTTTTTTCATTTATACAAATTTGTATGAAAAGAAGGGAAATAGTTTAACACCGTAACGGGCACGTGTTTAAGATTAATATATCGACACTAGCTGCATATGCTGCAAAGAGTATAATAGACACTGCCAACATATGATGTTCTTGCTTCATGGTGCTTTTATAAAAGCTAGCATTAAATGCCGTTGATTTTACATGTATTAAGTGTCAAGTGTCATTTTGAAAATCTGCTATCATAAAGTTAGGATGAATAGTACAAACAGTTTATTAAAATACAGGTAAAAACGGTCTACCGCGATCAAATCAGCACGTGTTTATGTCTATTGTTTTAAATTAAGGTAAAAATCGCCAAAAAAAAATTAAAAAATATGAATTTCTATGAATTTCTATGAATTTCTATGAATTTCTATGAATTTCTATGAATTTCTATGAATTTCTATGAATTTCTATGAATTTCTATGAATTTCTATGAATTTCTATGAATTTCTATGAATTTCTATGAATTTCTATGAATTTCTATGAATTTCTATGAATTTCTATGAATTTCTATGAATTTCTATGAATTTCTATGAATTTCTATGAATTTCTATGAATTTCTATGAATTTCTATGAATTTCTATGAATTTCTATGAATTTCTATGAATTTCTATGAATTTCTATGAATTTCTATGAATTTCTATGAATTTCTATGAATTTCTATGAATTTCTATGAATTTCTATGAATTTCTATGAATTTCTATGAATTTCTATGAATTTCTATGAATTTCTATGAATTTCTATGAATTTCTATGAATTTCTATGAATTTCTATGAATTTCTATGAATTTCTATGAATTTCTATGAATTTCTATGAATTTCTATGAATTTCTATGAATTTCTATGAATTTCTATGAATTTCTATGAATTTCTATGAATTTCTATGAATTTCTATGAATTTCTATGAATTTCTATGAATTTCTATGAATTTCTATGAATTTCTATGAATTTCTATGAATTTCTATGAATTTCTATGAATTTCTATGAATTTCTATGAATTTCCATGAATTTCTATGAATTTCTATAAATTTCTATGAATTTTAGAATAAAGTGATTGACATAGTTTATAGCACAACTTTTTTAATAGCCTAAAAAGCTGTTCAAAATTAGTGCACAACTTACAATGTTTGATTAATTTTGATTATTTAAGACAATATTCACGTTTATTGCAAAAAATCATAGGTGGCTCATGTCAAGTAGGTATTCTTGACAGTTTTGAATTGTTGCGACTATACGAGTTTTTCGTGTGTTTTATGAAGTTAAAAGATTTGTTTCACTTTTTAATTTTTTGAACCTTAATTGTTCCAACTTTAAATTAAAACAAATTTTCTTTTATTTAATAATGTTTAATTACCCTTATTTATATTAACCATATATTAAATTCACTAAAAATTTCAATAACACAAATATAATATCAACATTTTTAGTGGTGCAATAATTGTGTATATCACGACGTTTGTTTAGTAAAAAAGCATTTAGCACCGAAACAATATTTGGGTAATTGATTCAGGCAACTTTTGAACGTTCCATCCATAAAAAAAACTTTTGGAAGAGGCAATAGCTTTTTTTTCTTCTTTTTTTGGAGTCAATAGTTTTTTCATTGATAGCGATAAAGGGCTCTCCAAATTTCATTTCTATAATATGATCCGATATTTCAATATCAAACTCACTCAGCGGTTTCTTAGGTACTCCTTGCTTTTTTTGGTCATTTTCGCTGTAGACTAGTTTTTGTAAAGAATACTCGTATAATGGCACTTCTGACACAAAATCTAACCCTTTAATGAATAACGTCGATAAAAGGCGAACCCTCTTTCTGGCAACTTCACTAGCGGCAATATCTGGCTTATACGAATGTTCGGAAACCTAAAGAACATAACCTTCCTTTGATTTCAAATCGTCATTAGCAGGTTTCCTTTTTTTCTTCATGCAAACCCATGTGATAATGTTTTCTTCGTTTTGTCGGTATTGACGGTACTGATAATCGTTTAGAATAGCGGAAGGTTCACCTTTCGTTGATTCTAACAACTCAAAACTTTTTCATTCTTATAACTATCGTAAATTGAAAAAAACTTAAATAACACACTACTTTGTTATCACAGACAAAGCGGTGATGATGATAATAATAAAATAATAATACCAATAATTTATTCTTTTTGTGTAAATAATCCTTAGATTTAGGTACCGAGGCATTAGGTATTTACCTATTTAATTATTAAGTCCATTAAGGATATGAATAACACCATTTACACAGACAAAGTAGGTACTTATATTCCAACAAAGAAGTTATTTATAATTCCCAGTAATTTCTTTAAAATAATGTACTTAACGATTAAATTTTAAATGTTACAGAGGAATTAAAAAATAATTTTAGATATTGACACTATTCACGTAATAAATAAAACAAGCATGGATAATAATTTGACAATTATTTTAATTTTCCTGATGATTTGATCCGCGATTTGGAATTGCTATTTTTTTTGTCGCAAGTAAGATCACCCCTGATATTATTTTCATTTTATCATATTACTTGATCGCAAATGGGACGAAAATTATTTTGACCGCAAATGTCACGACCAGAAATGAGAACACCCTACGTTCTACTAAAAGTAAATTTTTATACTCTCTTTCAAAATTTATAGCAGGAATTAAATCATTTGAATTCTCTTGAAGCTTCAAGTTATTGGATTTAATTTCTTGGGATTCAACTTTGGATTGACAAGTTTGGCATTTGGTATTAAATATAGTACGTGCTTTCTAACTTTTCAAGGGCCAGTATTAATTAACTATAATTATGAATACATTACTGTTATTAATTACAGAGAATAGGTAAGTAAGTCTAAAAAAGTTTTTTTTTGCATATTACAAGGTGCCGACATTTCCAATAACACTTTATAACTCACTTATTAAATTCGTATACATTTTTCAAACTCTTAAATCATATTTCAGATATGTATCTGGCCGCGAAACGCATAAATTACAACTGGTTGCCTTCTCCGACCAGTTTATCGAAGATATTGATTATTTCCTGCCTATTTAAACGCAAGTAAACGTTCCCAATGTTTCTCTTTGGTTGTTGCTTCTCATTTTTTTTTGTTTTGTTATTCCTGTTTATTTCAAGGTCTGATACCATGGGAACTTTGTTGGTAATATATTAAGGTGTCCTATTCATGTTTGTAATAATAGTTACGCAACAATCTTTTTTAAAGCATTACATTGTGTTTAATGTTAGAAATATCTAGGATATGGATACTTTAAAGCTTGAATGTACTTAAATGTAAAATTTAATTTATTTTTAACCTTCTAGAAATTCCCAAGGTGAGGATACTTGACTTCTGTTTAAATTTAATATTGGAATAATACGACTAATTAGCTAATTAAAAGCATGTCAAATCCTGGTGATCGTAATCACTTTCCTGTAACTGCATTAAATTTAAAATTACCCTTAATCTTTCAGTTCCCAATCAATTTAGCCTGTCAAATAATTATTTCAATAAAACGTTTCTACCTGGGGAAACGGAAACTTTTCGAAACTCCGCCATATTGCCGTCAATATCCACAAAAGGGCCAAATTTAAAGGTTACTCCGTAAAGTTCTAAGGTATAATAACAAATTAAATGACCCAAGTTGCTTTCACCAGCACGGTTTCCGATATAAATTGAAAGAAATTTATTTCCTGGATTTCCAGCGATTATGACGTGGCCCGTCCGCTGGTTGGAAAAGTTTGGGGGAGAGAGAAACAAACTTTTTCGCCTTTTGCGCTGCCCTTGCAGTTGAGACGTTCGTAATTAATGATGATTTTTCTATAGTTTTTTCTCGAAATGGCGACCGATTGGTTTCGGGGCTGATTTCTCAATTAGAGAACTTTCTGAATTATTAATCGTCTATAAAAAACAATGGTGTTAAGTTTGATTTCGGAATCCAATGAACCAGTTCGAGAGGTATTAAAATAATAAATTTAGAGAGAAAATTACTCTTCTGGTCTAACGCTTATAGCATGAGGTTTTGAAAAAAAAAATACTCATTTAGGATACTTTTTATTTTGCCACCAAAATTATTCCGTAAATAAACAAATTTTGCAAGTAATTTTTTTCATAAATCGTTTCTCATTCCTTATTCTCTGTTCTTTGATTTATTGTCGTCGGCTACAGTTATATGGGAATGTGATTTACATGCCAATTCTTTTTTATTTTTCGACCCTTCAGACCTACCTTGCTAGCACCCTAATTCGTTTGTGGCGTGGCGGCACTGCAGGGTGCAGTTTATTGTACCACTGTTTAAAGGTCCTACTACTTTCCCATTCACTAACTCATTCATGGTATACTTGTTGTGAGCGGATTTTTCTTAGTTAATATTTGTGCGCCACTGTTTAGACCAGATTTGTATGATATTGATCCGTTTTGAAGACTAACTCTTGTTTCTTCTACAGTTAATGCTATGGATAGCTGTATCATCAGCGAATGTGGCTAAATTTATATTTTAGACCTTCATTTTAGGTGTATAAGGGTTTCCCAATAAGAACACTCCAACTTCAAAGTGTAATAAAATAAAAAGTTTCAATAAAACGAATATAATTTAATATTTATTTTAAAACATATATGGAGACATTAAGTTTTCAAAATTATGTCAGTTAAATATCCGCCGCGGCTTTCCCTGGTGATTCGAATTCTGCGAGTCCAGTTTTCGATAACCTCATTACGCAGCAATTTCGCGTCTGATGTTGGCTTTAAGGGCGTCAACAGTTTGTGGTTTATCGACACAGACACGATATTTAAGGAAACTCCAGAGAAAAAAATCCAGCGGAGTTAAATCGTATAATCTGGGCGGCCAGTTGACGTCGCCATTTCGCGATATAACAGATTCCTGCAGTATGGCAGGTTGCTCCATCTTGTTGGAACCACGTGTTTCTCAGATTCATACCACCCACTATAGGCCACAAAAATGTTATTATAATAGCTCTATATCGCTCACCGTCGACAGGTTGACATCCGCGAAAGTCCAAGCTCTTGAGCACGACGCGGAATAGACTGTCTCGGATTCTCATGCACACTTTCCCGAACGGCAGCAATATTTTCAACGAATTTCACTCTTTGTTGGCGTACAGGCGTTGGTCGATCTGCCACTGAACCACTTTCTTTAAATTTCTGCATTAAACGGCGAATTAAGGACTCGGTAGGACGATCATGGACACCATAAACTTGACGAAGTGCGCGGAACGTTTGCCGAACAGAACATTGGTTTTGGTAATATATTTTGACGATTTCGACACGTTGTTCAATTGTATACCTCTCCATATTAAATGTCAAGGCTAACTGAATACTCCTGGCAAAGATAACGCGTGTGTGACTTTCGACCTTGCAATGCGCTGTTGCCAAAGATCGCGCATTCTTATTGGGAAACCCAAAATTTAGTTATTTTAGGGCTTTTGAGATATCAAGAAATACTGCGGAACAATTGTTTTCTTATAGAGAATTTTTGTCAATTATCTTATTTAGTCTTCTTAATTTGTCAAATAGTTTTGATATCGCAGGTAGAAGCGATATTGTCAATATGTTATTTCATTATTGGGTTGTCTTTATTACTTCAGCAATTTGCCATATTAGTGGCATTGTTCATTTTATGTACGATGGTAGTGGATCATGTCTAAATGCTGCATTAATTTGTAATAGTATATCTTTCATATCGTTATTTTTCAAACACCTCAGTTATCCTATCTCTTTCCTTGAGATAACAATTCTGTGTCTGACAATCGAGATTCTTTTTGATTGTATTTTTTTCTAAATTTAGAAATTTAGATTTTGAAAAGCCATTATATTAAAATTTTTTTTTTTTTATACAACTACAAAGATTACACTAGATTTATTTGTTTAATTTTAGGAGTTATCTTTTTCTGAATTTGGTAATTTCTGCAAAGAAATTCATTTTTATTATTTTATTATCCAAAACGTTCCTATCTATCCGTTTTATCCATTAGAAGAAAAAAATCTTTTAGCTTCACAAAATTTTGATGGTTTTTTCTTGGTAATACGAAGAATGATTTGTACGGTTTTTCTTGGTAATATAAAGAAGGATTGACGTCTGAAAGGCTGAACTATTTGGAGGCTACAAAAATTTGCTGATTTATATAGTAATTAATGTATTGAGGACTTAAGAAAGATAATAGGCTGTTGGAGACTACAAATATTTACTGATTTGGATATTATATAATAATAATATAATACTCTCCCTAATTCAACCTCTTACGAGTGAATTTTAACCCCCAAAGCTGAGCTTGTGAGGGGAAAGAGACGGCTATTATTATTATTTGCTGTGGCGTTCCAGGGCGACTTAAAGATGATTGATGATGCCATTTGCCTTACAGGTGAGGAAAACCCGGAAAACCTCACCCATTATCATATAAAACGACAGATGAGACCTTTCATCGTAGATGAGACCTCTTTTACCTTTAATGAAGCAGTACCTCATTGGATGAGTCAATTTTACCTTTTACAGAGGTCATTTTATTATTAGAAACATTTGTAGATTATTTGTATTAATAGTAATAGTAATTTTTGTTTTTGTATTTTTATCAATTACTTTTATACTTAGAGATATGCGAATTCAAATACGGTGGTGCCCAACTCCAATTCAGGGTAATTGAGTTATTACATTCTAGACTCTAATCCACGACCCTTATTAATGACCTTTCATAATTTAAATTGTAAAACCAACAGTATCTCTCATGTGATCAGATCGAACCCAGGAGATTTTTTTACACTAATTCTATTTTTTATTTTTCTTTGTACTTCTTTAGGACTAGTTACTAATATTTTATTTATATCAGTAACTTCCTCTTGGTTGTCCATTTCAATGACTCCACGTTCTGCTGGGTTCGATTGGAAGAGTCCATTTGTATTCCATTCGAGAATCCTAAAATCAAGGGTCATTTTGTTTTTTATCGCCTTTTATCATTATTATTTTCTAGTCTGTCCAACGATTTTATAGAACTTATTCATTAAATTCTTCCTGTTTATCCATTTGATTCATTATTGTTCGCAGCATTAAAGGTATAGGATCCGTAATGCTCTCTATGGTGCTTGTACTTCATTACTAGCTACTTGGGCATAAGATATACTAGCTTCCATTAATTTTTGTTGTCTTCTCACAGTTTTCTCAGGATTTCTCGGTTCTCGGTTCACTTGGTTGACTGTGAATTTCTGATTTGTAGTATTGTTTCTTATGCTTTTCAGAGCTTTTACAGTGGTACAACCTCTATAATTAGCTGGGTTCTTCCCTCTACAGCGTATGTACTTATTGATTTTTTAAAATCTTGGGTTAAATGTTTTTTAGCATATTTGACACATCTGGGTTCTCTTTTGCAGTAGCTTTGAGTATGACCATATGCTTGGTATCGTCAACATTGGGGTTATAGTGGAGAATTTTCTACATCTTCATATTTGTTAAAGGTTAGAGTAAATAGTGGGAGAGGTCTTTTATCTTTTCTGCTCAGTAGCTGACTTACTTCAAGTATTTTAATCCCTTTATTTGGTCCTCTTTAATTTGCTCTGGTTGACAAGACAGGTAATTTTCTCACAACTACCTTTATTGGTCTTTTTAAACAGAAACCATTCCATTTAAGTATTGTTAAGCTATTCTATATGTTATTTCATAATCTACATCGTTTTTAAAATTACCTCCAGTATGTAATCTGACAACAGGTAATTTTTTTTCTTGTTAAAAAAAATCTGATTGCGTCCTTTAGAAGATTGATAGTCTTTGAATCAAACTAGAAACGTATTTTATTCACCGGACTATTTGTTCATTATTCATCATATCTCTCTTCTTCTCTTATTTGTATTCAAATAGGAGAAATTCAAATATGTAAATTGTTCATCGACATAGTTTTGCCAGGGCTGGAATTAAGGAATACGGATTAAGCTCCATTGACATGCAAGAAGAATGCAGAAATAATCAAACTAGTGCTGCTTCCGGCTCCTGCTACTGCATTCGCGCTTTAGCGTCTTGACGTCGATGTTCGTGTTTAAGCGCGTTTGAATACTCGTACACCCAGCAGAAAACCGAAGGATTTTTTAATCGAATAAAGGCTCCTTAATTCTTTATGTTAATTAACAATAGTAAACGGTAGTCCTTTTCGGTTTCTTTTGCATTGAGAGATATTCCATAAAAAATTGATTTAATGATATAGAAAATCAAAAGGACTTAGCTTCTATTTTAAATGATTTTCAGAATGGTCTTTTAAATATTTTTGATTATTTAACACTGATATATCGTCCAAGACAATCCTGCTAAGATCTGCATATTATCTTTTTCATTTTAGTTTTTGATACACTTGGGTTGCAGATATTTTTATACATATACCAACAGTTTTGCTTATTTGTAAAGATTTTGGAGATATTTCAAACCTCATTTTATTATTCTTTTAATTTAACTTAATAATATTTAATAAATCATTAATTATTACCATTTAATTTTTACAGTTTCTTTAATAATATAGTAGGTTATCTACATTAAGGGAAAACAATTTTATAATTTTTAATCGGGTTATTTAAAACTAGTTTAAAAATTATGCATTGCGTCTTATCTATTTGCATTAAGAAAATACCTGTTGCTTAACTTAAGATTAACTAAGTTTTTTTTTCAGGCCTTCCTCAAGCCAGTAACGATTATTCCAATTGGTAAGTAAAATTAAAATTTAAGTTTTTACCATGGAGTCTATATTTTTTATAAAATATAAAATAATTTGACAATTCGGAAACAAATCTCAAAAATCTCCTTACAAATTATTTAAATCGTATCCGAACCCCAAAGGTTAAAAGACATACTTGGAGATTTGAAAAAAAGCCTATCAGCGCCAGATATCTTTATTCTGTACACAAATGCCCTAACTACTGACCATAGAGTTATTGACTGTCGAGATTTTCAACCGATAATTTGATGTGCTAATTCGGTCTAAGCGCCGTTTTAGGTTTGTTCTCAAATCATTAAATACCTCTATACAGCATCGGCGTATATACAAACGTCATATCAGAAAAAAATTCGTTTTTCATAGAAGTCATGTCAGAAGAAATTGTAGCAAAAGAAATTATAGTAGAATACACATCATCCGAAAACAGAAAATTTTTCGGATTCAAACCATCACTTTCTATTGCTTGTTTAAGTTGCTCTGCCAACTCTGCTTTCTTTCCTTCTATTTCAATTTCACAATATTCTTGTTCCCGTTGCAACTTAGTCACTTTTATCTCACTAAGTTTTTACCATTGTTACCCCTATTTATTTACAGTATCCCTATAAAAATAATTTCTTAAATTTATATTTACTAGAAAACTAATTTATTTTTCAAATACTTATACACTAATTTACTTAGACAATATTTCTCTTCACACTACAATATCTATCTATATACTCCCAAGATCATTTTTATTAGCCTTTGCTTGGATTTCCTTTTTTTTTTTAATTCACTTTTAATTATTATTCTAGTCTATATTTAACATTTATTGTACAATCCTTATCCTCATCACAATTTGGTATTTTACTGCTTAGACAGTGTCGGTTATACATATTTTTCTCTACCTTTCAAATCTTTATTGTTTTCTATTACCTCGTATAATACTACTGCATTTTCTACATCCTCTTCATCTCTAATTCGGCTTTCGACTATTATTATTCCTCGACGTTTTTTATGCTCGTAAATCCGTCGTATTTTCGGGGGTCGTTAAGGGGCTACCGCTCCCTGCCACCCTCCACTTCAATTTTGGTATTCTTTTAATCTTAATGAATTTCGCTGGAAGTTTTATAATTTCGGTTGACGCCGCAAAGGTCCTTCGTCTCATTAAGGATGCATAAGTTGAAATTCCACAATGAATAATTAGCGTGGATGCCGAAACAGCAGTAACGGATTGGGCAGGAGTAAAAAAGAGATAATGTCGTTAAATCGGGACCAGTTTTTGTTCTTTAGTAAAAAGGGCTGTTAGTTATTCATTTGTTTGTTTTTTACTTTTCCTTCATAGTGATTAAGTGCAGGGGAGAGGGGTGAATAAGTTGTGCTACGTCCGGGCAGTGGGAGCGGTCATATGATCTGTGAAATTTAAAGTAAATGTTTGTATTTAAATATGTGCCTTCAGATATCCAAAACAATAAAATGTGCCTTTTCAGGCATTTTCTGACGTCTGATTTTGCTACTTCCGGGGTAGGGATTCGTGATATTTACGAGATGAAATACTCTTACGAATCAAGTTTGAGCAAGTCTGTTGATACCAAATAAAATTTGGTAATAACTTACAAAATTGTTATAAATATTCGTTGTTCATTTTTAAACTCTTTTTGATTTGTTATCTGTTATAATTAAGATAATATTTTTTTAATCTTTTGGGATATAGTAGTCCTTTTTGAAAGTTGACCTATTACAGTGATATTTAACAAA